ACAGCAGCCCCCCAGATAATGAAACCTGGTTAGGCAAACCCAATACAGGGATATATTTCTCTGCCTTTTGGGCATGTATAGAGGGGACTTTAGGAAGGCAGTGACCTGACTTTAACACCTTTTCTTTTTTTTAAATAAATGCTAACATTTTATTTAACTAATTAAGGAAGAAGGTTAGGCAGACAGTAATTGGCTCTTACCTAAAGAGGAAATTCACTTGGACAGGGAAGTCAGCTGTGCTTCTCCATCAAAATCTGTATTGATTATACATGTCTGATGAAAGTTTGGTCAGCTGAAGGTCATCTGCATTCAGTTTCTCAAATAATTTCCACAGAAACTTTAGTGAAAACATTTATATTAATTATGTCTGAGTAGCAAAACCTGCCTGACTGTGGTGAAATTTATGTAAGGGAGCAATACAAGAGACAAAGATCTTTGGTTTTTTTCCTCAGTCTTGTGTAGAAAAATAAAGTAGAAATAGAGGGCAATTATTTTGACATTGTCTTCTAAACTTTGTCAGGTACATAATTTCTTATGTTAACTTTTGGCCATTCCAGCTTATGCATATTTGCAGTGGGAATGTTTCACTTTCCTCTAGGTCAGACTGTACTCGGTTTTAGAGTGATTGCTTTCTGGTCACCTGCTATTTGCAGTTTTCTTTTGCCTTTCCAGTGAGAGCTACTTTGGTCTTGTACAGTGAGCTGTGGTTAAATGTGCAGCTGTTAGCAGTTCCCCATTCCTAACCTCACAGAAATACTTAGAAATGCTGTATATGAGACTGATTTAATCTTCTACACATCTTCTGGTGTACTTGAAGTTTTCATCTGAAGTCACTCTTCCATTAAATTCATAGTAGTGCACAAGCAGGGTTTTGTAGCAAAATAGGAACTTGCACAGCATATTTATTTAGTATGACTGCTAACTGCATCATTGTTGATTATAGCAGTTCTGTTTCACAAGACTTGTCCTCTGTGCTTCCTTTCTTTTGTATATAGCTCTGGGGGTATTGCTAAGTTTGCTTTTGGGTTTGGATTTGCTGCTTGACTGGGCTTAGCATGACCTCATTCTCTGCCTCCTTCCTCCAGCCCACAGCTGGGAGAAATGATCCTTCAGCAGAAGCTTTGGTGGTCCAACTTTTTTCTTCAGCATTGATGTCTCCTGTTCATCAGTCAGTCATGCAAACTTTAGCAATGGCAGGAGAACATTTGCAATTTAAGGATGCTCAACACAGCCCTATTTATTATGGCTGCTTGTTAGCATTGTGCTGCTGTCATGACAATGTCAGCCTACCTGGATTTTGAACAGTTAGCTTTTACTTGTGTGGCTTAAAACACAGCTGGAAAACTCAGTTTGAACTTGGTTTCTGATTATTACTTATGAATGCAAAAGTCCTCTTCCTGGCACCAAATGAAAATGATTCAGTAGGGTATCAGGCACCTTCCTGAGTGTAAGGATAATGCTGCAAATGGGTGGGCCAAAACCAGTAACATTGTATGTGACTCTTCAGTGTGGTTAAGGGGGTCCAGAAGGCAAAGAACTGATAAGAGAGAAGTTTTCATTTGGAATACGATGCTGAGGTAAATTTTGCTACAACTACTTTTGGCATAAAGTAAAACGTGGCAGCTGTAGGCATGAGTTATGGGAAATTAACACTATATAGAAAAGAAGACTATTTTGAACTATAGGTAATATTCACAAATTATTTTGTATGAGAAAACTTTTTTTTTCTCCTTCAATGAAAAAGAACCAGCAGGATTTCTTCAGTCATTGAGAGTTTGATCTTCTTGTCTTCCTAAAATGCTAAATACACTTGGTTTCCATTGTCACCAGCATAGCTCAGCCTGCTGTTTTTTCACCTGCTACACATAGGACATGACTGAGGGGGCTGAATAGCTGGTACAGTGAGATGCCTGTGTCGAAATGTAATTTGTAGGGCACAGTTGTTCTGTGAAAAATAATTCTTATTCATTTTCTTTCCTGGTCAGCTAAGGCTTTGAGAGGAAAATACATTATACAAAGTGTGATTCTAGCAATTTTTTGGAAAAAATTAAGTGG